AAAGAAGGCAGTTATTTTACACTTTGATTGTATTTTTGATTAAGTAAATGTAGCCCTGGGAAGCATAAGAGGCGTTGGTGGTGTATAAGCAGTTATGTTGGTTCATTTTAGCACCAATATATTACACTAAATGGGGACAGAACATCATTTCGCTTATATTTTGACCATTTATTTTGGCATAAGTTATTAGCCTTAACGGTAGATACTCTAATTGAATTTCTGATTATATTATGTGATTTTTTTGAAAACGCATCACAATGGAGTTGGTTTTGCATCAATCCATAAACATTTTTAAGTGAAAATGAAAGGAAATTAAAGCGCAGGACATGCTTGATGATAAAGAGTTAAGTGCATTAACCAAGAGTTATGTTATTCTTTTTCTGTAAAATTTCTTAGATATAATATATGTAATATATATATATATATATATATATATATATATATATATACACACACACACAGTTGAAGTCAGAATTGATAGCCCCTCTTTATTTCCCAAATGATGTTTAACAGAGCAAGGAAATTTTCACAGTATGACTGATAATATATTTTCTTCTGGGGAAAGTCTTACTTTTTTTATTTCAGCTAGAATAAAAGCAGTTTTTAATTTTTTATGAACCATTTTAAGGTCAAAATTATTAGCCCTTTTAGGCCAGAACAAACCATCATTATACAATAATTTGCCTAATTACCCTAACCTGCACAGTTTAAATGTTACTTTAAGCTGTATAGAAGTGTCTTGAAAAAATATCTTGCTAAATATTATTTACTGTCATCATGGCGAAGATAAAATAAGTAAATTATTAGAAATGAGTTATTAAAACTATTATATTTAGAAATGTGTTGAAAAACAAAATCTTCTCTCCATTAAACAGAAATTGGTGAAAAAAATAAACAGGGGGGCTAATAATTCTGACTTCAACTGTATTCATTCATTCATTCATTGGTTCATTTTCTTTTTGGCTCACCCCAGTATTTATCAGGGGTCACTACAGGAGAATGAACCGCAAACTTATCCAGCATATGTTTTATGCAGCCTATGCCCTTTCAGCTGCAACCCATCACCGGGAAACACCCAATACACTCTTATTCACACACATACACACTACGGAAAATTAAGCTTATTCAATTCATTTATAGTATAGTGCATTTCTTTGTACTGTGGGGGAAACCGGAGCATCCGAGGAAACCCACGCGAACACGGGGAGAACCAGTAAACTCCACACAGAAATGCTAACTGGCCCAGCTGAGGCTCGAACCAGCAACCTTCTTGCTGTGAGTCGACAGCGCTACCCACTGCATCACCGCGCCGCTCCTTTATATACATATATAAACATTTTTCTTGTTAAATATTTTTTCACTCAGTTTTTAATTTACATTCTTATAATGTTTTACTGTTTGTTAATCGCATCTTTATGCTTATAGTTAAAGGGATACTGTATTTCACCCTAAATTTCACTCTCAAAAACAAAACAATGGGAAAAAACAGCCATTGACATACACAGTAGGAACAAAAAAATGTATACTATGCAAGTCACTGGCTGTTTTTTTCTAGCCTTCTTCAGTATACCTTTCTTTGTGTTCAACAGAATGAAGAAACAGGTTTGGAACAAATGGAGGGTCAGGAAATAATGAAAGAACTTTCATTTTGGGTAAACTGTCACTTTAATAACATGCATTGAGAATCATTTTATAATTGAAGCATTATTTAAATCAAATTGTGATTAAAGTCTGTTCCTGTATAAATGAAATCACATGTATATTTTTAATAAGATGCAAACATCAACATGTGAATTTTCATCTTTGACCCATAAATCTATTATTCTAAAGTACAATTATTCAGTGTTTCAATGTGTTTTGTCAGTGTGAGATATTTTAGGTCTGTGTTTGTTACTGTGTGTCTAGAGAGCAGTTGTCAATGTTCAGTCAGCACTTAAGCATCTTTCTCTATCTCTGTCTCTCTGACTCTCTTTCTCTCTTTCGTTCTCCACGTCTATTCATATCCTTCTGTTCAATAGCCCTCCCTCATGCGCTTCCAGCTACTCAAGATTCCAGAGTGTGTAGCACTGCCAATTAGTTCTGCGCTGCTCTGTGTGTGTGTGTGTGTGTGTGTGTGTGTGTGTGTGTGTGCGTGCGTGAGGTTGTGTAATACTGCTATACTGTATGCGGTGCAGCACCGGTGCTCTCCACACACACACAGGATGAGTCATACGCTCTCAGCAAGTGCAGGGCTTTCCCTTGCTCTGATGAAAAAGATGTTCACATTTTATTGCTGTTTATCAGAACATTACAATTTCATCTCAATCCTTCTGTCTCACCAAAATCAATGGTGCTACAGAAGTGCAGATTATGACCTGTGCTGACTGCAGAGGAATGATCATTTGATGCTCAGTATGCGGAGGAAATTCCCAGCATAGTTGCTTAATCCGTTGAGGAAAGGCCTTGTTTTGCAGGTTGATCTAATGCTGTTAACTAACTCAATTTAAAGCCTTTTCTGTTGTTCCTTTGAGACGGACGAGTGTCCTTCACATGAGAAGCTGAAATGCAGCATTGTGTGTGTGTAAGCAAGGAGCTGAACTGATATGTGTGGAGTAAAAGCAGCCTGTTGTAAAGGGAGGTTTCGGTGACTGTTTTGATTGACAGTCTCTCAGGTTGATTGCTAATGGTGTCTGTGCTAAAGTAATTGCTTCATATGCTTAATGTTCTGGGTTCAGTATAAGTTCAGCTATAAACTGTGGCTTCTGTCAGTTTCCATTGAAGCTATTTCAGCTGCCATTTAATTTATACAAACAAACTGGGATCACAATTACAAATAGACAGTGACTTTGTATAGTATTATTTATTATAAGTTGAGAATATGGTATGGTTTCAACTATTCTTAAAAACATTTAATTTTTGATTTAAAAAAAAACATGTCTGAACTATTTTTTTTTTCAATTTAAACATTTCTAGACTTCATTGAAATGTTTAAATTAAATAGTTGTAATTACAAAGGTGGTCTGCTCAATTTCAGTCATGAATCATATATAAATTTGACTTAATCCAGTTGCAATCAGCATAATAAAAAGATTTCTGAAAGCTTGTTATGCTTGAAAAGTTTGCTCTGTCATCCCATGAGTAAGTTATATGTAATTGCTTAAATTGCAGTTATATTTTTCAATATCACTGATTTTATTTTAAAATATAAGATGTTCATATTTGCTATGTTATATTAAATAATAATAATCACAATATCACTATTACCATTATTACTGATCTTTATATATTGATTATTTTTATGATGTTTTGTGAATTGTATACATATAACCACATTATTAGCCACATTATTTCGCTGCCTGAAGGTCGTTAAAATATCTGGCATGTCAAGTATTGGTGCATCCAATGACAACAACAACAAAATGTAAATAATAAAAGCAACTAATAAATTTAAATAAAAACAAAGAATTACATTTTGTTATAGAGGCCTCCACTGGCCTTTATTACTGTGTTAACTTCAGTTAGTCTCTTAAAAACAATTAGTTTTTTATATACACAGAACAAGAAGAAACACATTGGTAGACATAAATAATATAGATGTAAAGTGTCGTAAGTAGACATAAAGAATATTTTAAAAATATGAAGACTAAACAAAATGCTTATCTCAGTAAACATACAAAACTAACAAAAAAATGTATAGCTGAAACCTAAGAGAGGTCACTGGATTACACTTGAGTTCTAGATTTGTAAAATATGACACACTCAGTTAAGACTGTAATAAGCCATATGATTTTACCCTTCCTTTATATTTAACAATTACTAATGCTAATCATTTTTCCTTATAGTCTCACACACTCTAGCCTCTAAATTGATTTAAGAAGTTTTCTCATGCTCTTCTGTCTAATGTTGTTTCTGCAGACCGTTGGAATGTCTATTTTTGGCAGCTTGGGACACTGTGTGTGTGTGTGTGTGTGTGTGTGTGTGTGTGTGTGTGTGTGTGTGTGTGTGTGTGTGTGTGTGTGTGTGTGTGTGTGTGTGTGTGTGTGTGTGTGTGTGTGTGTGTGTGTGTTTCCTGTTGACCTGTGATTGGTCAGTCTTGTTGTGAGTCACATGGTTGGTGGAGGTCTTTGTCCTCTTCATATTTGTCTAGGGTGAGTCCACTTATCAGTCTAGACATCAGTACCATTGACTGCTCATGTTCTAGTCGTGGATTCATCTATGACTCTTATTATGCTTTAACGTGTGTGTGTTTGTGAAATAGAAAGGAGGTATTGGAAAGTATTTCTTTGCCTTGATTAAATCAACAATCTTTAATCCACAGTCTCTTATATAATACATTCTGAGAATGAGAACACAATGTGCTTTCTGTTTATTCTTGAATTGGAAATTTGGGAAACAGATTTATTGTACACAAGGAGTAATGTTTTTCAACTACAGTGCTTCCATATTTTAGGGACAAAATTGAGCTACATCTGACAAAACTTTATTTTGTAAACATTCAAAGACATTCTCAGTTGGAAAATACATTTATAAATATTACAAAAGTATTTTATGGTTATCTAAGATAAAGATAGTGATTGTTTAAAATGATTGTTTATCATGTTTATTTTTTTATGTAATTATGTTATTATAGAATTAATATTTGGATTTTATGTGGTATATATATATATATATATATATATATATATATATATATATATATATATATATATGGTATTTGACCAAAAAAATCATAAAAACCCATTTACTGTGGTATTTCCCCATTTATATCTTGAGGTAAATGTTTGTGTGTGTTCTCTAAGCAGCGTTTAGGGTCCTCTGGAGATCGTGAGAAACAGAAGAGTCCCACAGCAATCTTGGCATGAGAGTGGTTTACTCAGACTCTGCTGTATCAGCTCTCAGATCAGCTTTGTACAGAAATAAATCATGAAATATGGTTTTGTTGTAGGTGTTTAGTAGTTCTGCACTGATGTCTTTGTGTTTACTCATGTGTACTGAGCAATATATGTTTTTTTCTTCTGCAGTATGTGGAGAGGCCTCAATGTCAACTGTGTGGACGGATCAGGATACACACCTCTGCACCACGCATCTCTGAACGGACACAGGTAACACTCAAATTATACCTTAAGAGATGGGATGACACAATGTTGGTTGGACATTCAAATGTTTAGAGGGCTTTACAAGAAAGAAATGTTCAATATATTTAAGGTGAGATATTACTACATAATAATTACCCTCTATCTCAATACAAAATGTTATAAATGAGAAAAATAGACCAAACATTTTGTTTCTTACATATATGTCAATTTCATTGACCTCTTTTGTTGGAAAATGGAATTTATTTTGTACAAATGCTTTAATAACTTTATATATTATACATATAACACAGTATGCATAGATAAAGGAATATTATGAAAAACAATGCACACCTAAGGCGTAAAGAGGGTCTTAGGAAATCATGCAGTAGAAATGTATAGATCTATAATATATCTACTTTTAATTTATCAAGGAGATATTCAGTTGTTTAAGAGTAAAAGTAAAAATTATTATGATAAATTATAAACTGTTTATTTTAAATATGTTATTTTGAACTTTCTTTTTTATTAAAGAATCCTAAACATTAAAATACATTACAGTTTCCACAAAAATTGGAACTGTGAACATTTTGAGATTAAGTGAATACCTGAATGAAGACAAATTGACACGAAACGTTTTGCACACATTCGCATCATTCTCAGACAGGCATTCCCTCCCAGCATTATAGACTTAAAAAGAGAAAGCGCTAGACGTCAGGATTACTTCAGATTCCAGAGGTGTAATCCAGCTGGCATACATCAGGATTAGATGACTGTGATGCCAGATTAGGGTGGGGTTTATGAAATGGGGGTGGGGTCAGATTAGGACAGAATTTGGGTGGGTGGAGTTACATTCGATTAGTGAGGGGTTTATGGGTTGGTGGGGTGTCAGATTAGTCAGATTTTTTTAAGTAGCGGTGGAATTAGATTAGTACACGGCTTTTTAAAATGTTAGCTGTAGGAACGAGGCCAGAGTGAGAGAGAGAGTTTATATAACATGAATAATGTACTATGATTACAGCACAATTACTCCCTTTATATTGTGCTTGGGGAAAACTTTCTTTAACTTAAACAGTACCATGGCAGATTTATTTGATTTTGGGGTTTATAAATGATAATCGCCTACACACTTACCCAAAATGTGTAATCTTTTTTATTTGTCTGTCTTGCAGGGACGTGGTATTGAAGTTGTTGCAGTTTGAAGCCTCTACTAATGTGTCCGACAGTAAAGGCTGTTTTCCTCTGCATCTGGCTGCATGGAGAGGTGACGTGGACATAGTCCAGATTCTGATCCACCATGGGCCTTCCCACAGCAGAGTTAATGAGCAGGTACACACATGCAATCTACTAAAGCACATGGACACTTTTGTGAGTTTGAAGTGCAATCTGAGTCTTGCTGGAAAGATTGGATTTACAAATTTAACCATACCAGAATGCCAGAGAGTCATGATTATGGATGGCTTGTCTGTGTGAAATCTTGTCAGACACAATAGATGCATTAAAAAGTCACATGTACGAAGTATCATAGTAGCAACTACTGTTTTTATGTACCACTCATTTTAAAGCACAGTTTTGCTTGGTGTTCACACTACTCTGCCTTCTTCTATACCTGCAGAGACGGAGTGTTTTGAAAATGATGAACACCCTTTTTATTTAGAAAATTGAGTATGATTATCCACTATCATTCTCTCACTGTTTTCCTGGACAATTGCGAATTATTCCCTGATTCATCAAGCTCCTAACCGGCAAGATATGTGGATACACAGTGAGCGTTAATGGTCATGAATCATGTGTTTCAGGAAGTATATTTTGGACAGAGATTGTTTTCTGAAATGCATTAAGAATGCCAGCATGGATCATTAGTGTATTCATTTTACAAGAGCTCTTTTAAAATGAAAAAGCACCAATATAAGCACAGCCTAGACAGAATATATGATGATTAAATTTACAGAAAACTTTAATACAAAAACAGACCTGATGAGAATTCCTTATTACTCACCCACAAGCCTTTCAACATGTTTGTAGTTTAATAGTTTAATCTGAGAAACACTCCTATGCTGTGAGTAGGACAATAGATGGATGTACCCTAAAAACAAGCCCTGCCCTCTATTTAGTGCTCCCTTTTCACTCAGAAATGTGTTAAAATGCTTTTATTGCAATCAGACTTTAAAACAAATCAGAAAACTGATATTTATATTGAATAAATATCAGTGGAGTTTGACTGTTCGTGTGGGTTTCGTTCAAGTGCTCCTTTTTCCCCCATGGTCATGCACTATAGTTGAAATGAATAAGCTAAATTTTCCATAGTGTATGTGTGTGCATGCAAGACTGTATGGGTGTTTCCCAGTGATGGGTTGCAGCTGGAAGGGCATGCGCTGCATGAAACATATGCTGGATAAGTTGGCAGTTCATTCCTCTGTAACAACCCCTGATAAATAAAGGGACTAAGCCAAAAGAAAATAAATGAATGAAAATCTTCAAAGGTGTGAACTGAACTTTAAGTGGTTGCTATGAAATTCTGGATGGTTGCTGGGTTTTTGGTATTTAGTGTTAGTCAGTGAAGTATTTTCATGCATATTTATCATGACATCAGAAAATGAATAGCACAGCCTTCCTCCACAATCCATCATAACCAGGGTTCGTTCAATTCTGAGCGCACACAAGAACTAGTAATAAGCACTGATTGGCACTTTACACAAACCTAGTACAAATAAACAGTGCACAAACACACAAAACACCTGCACACTCACACATTCACACAGTCTCAACGGGGTTTTGACAGTTTCAGACCTGTTTCTCGCATCTCAGCGTGTTTATGGGCTGATGGAGGGTTTGATGAGCAGAATCAGAGCTGCTCTGTGAAAGGCCTGTATTTACCCGCAGTTAAAATGCTGTCTCAGTGCAGGGAAGAGTGCTGCTCTCTCTCTCTTTCTCTCTCTCTCTTTTTCTCTCTCCTGCTGTCTGCCTCGCTCTTAATGACAAAACCCGCCTGAGAAACAATTACATCCAATCTTCAGCTACTAAACCAGCAGCTTGATGGATAGAGCTTCACTGCCAGTGTGAGCGCATTGTGCAGAGGCAAAGACAGTGAATGGCAATCATTTACACTCTTAGTAGTCTGTTAATAATGATTAGGGCCTATTTTTGAGTTTGATTGTTTTTAATTCATTAAAGGAAGTGGATTTTAATTAGTTCACCCAGAGTGACAATTCTGTCGCCATTTTCTTAACTTAACGTTTTGGTGAAATTTGGGTAGCATTTTCTATTATGGCTGTTTTTATTGTGTAATTTAGTGTATGCTACTATTTTTAAATGTAGTATAGTGCAGTGGTTCTTAAACTGGGGCCAGAAGATGCTAGGGGCGGTTGCAAAAAATTCTAGAATAGTTGTAATCATAAGACACATCTGGATTAATTTTGTGGCCCGCATCATGCTGAAAATAATGTTTCTAACTTATAATTTAATTATAATTTTAATTGTGTTTGCGTCATTTAAATGCAGTTGATACTTTTGCTCAATGGAAAAGAAGTAAAGTGATGCAAAGCTATATGCACTTTTAATTTTGAATAAGCATTTCTGGGCGCTTCTAGTGAGCTGTCATGCTCTTTTAAACTCACTCTGTTTAAGATTTGGTTTGTTCAAATTCACTGCTCTTCACTGCCTTATTGAGACGCAATATAAACTGAGTTTCTCACCAGACAAGAACGCACCGCATTCAGTTCTATTGTTATGCACCATGTCTTTCAAATATGGAAATTTATTTTACCACAGTATGTTTTCAGTGGAGATTCAGTGCTTACCTGCTCCTCCTGACAGCATTTGCCTTAAAACAAAAAAATTCATCTCCTTTACACTTGAACAACTAAATGAATGCTTAGGTCTGTTTAACTGATTATGTTTTGATTAAAATCTTCTGGTATCCTGAGCTTTATCTATTGTTGTTTTCTTGAGATCTAGTATGATATGGTAAACTATATGCATGTTTAGGGTGCTTTCACACTAGAACTTTTGGTCCGCACCCTGGTTCGTTTGACATCAGATTACAGTACGTTCAGCTAGTGTGAACGTGTCTTCTGAATGTTCGCATCCACAAACCACCTGAAAGAGGTAGTCTGAGGTAGGGTTCATGCAAACTCTGGTCCAGTTCACTTCTGGTATGAATACAATTGTACCAAATAACAGAAGTGAACCTACAATAGAACAACAAACTATCATTTTCATAAAGTTCATTCGTGTGTGTGTGTGTGTGTATCACGTACTGTACCTTGGTGACAAGTTGTACTTGGACTGAGCTAGGGCAAACGCAGTGATAATGTCTGCTTGTCTCCTCCAAAAACAGCTTCTGTAAGACATTGGGTTATGTTCTGAACGTTTAAAATATTTTTGCGGCAGATAGACGCAAGTCGCTTTCTGTATATCCAAAACCAAAAGATTCAGTAAAAGCAGAACGACCGCAATGTGGCAACATCTTTCCATTTTGCCGCTTTGCTTTTGTGTCTCGATGACGCAAGCGTACTGGGATTCAGAAAGAAAAAAGACCAGTCGAGAAGGTGGCAAGGGGTTACAATTGAACTTGAAAGCACCCTTAGTTAAAGACAAAATTATTAGCCGTTCTGTGAATTTTTCTCAGAATATTTTTCCAAGCGATGATCAAGGATTTGTTTTCCACAGTATTTCCTATTATATATTTTTTCACAGGTAAGACATATTTCTTTTTTTTTGGGCTGCAATAATAATAAAGAAATTTAATAAATGTAAAATCTGATAAGGCCAATATTTTTAGCCCCCTTAAAGGTATAGTTTCTAAATTTACTCACTATTTACTCAAGCCTGTCAACCTTTTGTGAGTTTCTTTTTTTCTGTTGAACACAAAATAAGTTATCTTCTAAAATGTTGGAAACCTGTAACCATTGACTTTCATAATAGGAAAAACAAGCTCTACAGGAGTCAATTGTTACAGGTTTCCAACTTAAAAAAAAGACTTTTTTTTTAGTTCAACAAAAAAAAAAAGGAAACAGGTTTGTGACAAATGAAAGGCGAGTAAAAATGAAAAAAGTTTCATTTTAAAGTCAACTGTGCCTTTGAGATTTGTCCCAATTCTCTACAGAACAAACCACCAGTGATATGCCTTATTAACCCAACTTACCTAGTTAATAGGTAAGTCTTTGAATTACTCTTTTTAAAAGTAGTACTTGAATTCTAGTATCTTGCAGTATTATTTTTTTGTCATCATGGTAAGGACAAGTACAAACTATTGTGTTTAGGATGTGTTAAAATCTTCTCTCCCTTAAACAGCACTTGGGAAATATTTGAAAAAGTATGAACATTAGACAGGAGGGCTAATAATTTAGTTTAAAGCACAAAGATCCAGCTGTGTTTATGACCTCACCCCTATAAAGATGAAGACATGTTCACAGGTCCATTTTGTTGGGACATTAAGCATAATCTGGTTAATAATGTGCGCTTAATGTCAAAATGCGGATAAAAGACTAAAGTAATTCTGTTCCGGTTAGGATTAAACCACTGAATTTATTTATTTATTTTTTTTACGCATAGTATCTTTTTGGAATGTTTTTGGGAGAATAGAATTTTAATGATGGGACAGAAATCTTCAGATTTGATTGACAATGAAAAACAATGAACAAATATCTTATACATCAATGTGAGGAACAGCAGGAGCTAAGGAGAACAGATTTTTTATTTGTGGTGAACTAACACTATAAAATTTATGAAATCAGTAAAAATTGGCTTTCTTTACTCTTTTATACACACTGCACAACTCTAATTGATAAATAGTGATAACTAGTTAGTAGTGCTAGCCAGCTGATAGCAAACAACAGTAACCTTTTACTTGAATTTTACTCCATTGACATCTGAATTTGTGCAGTACTTTAAGAACTATAAGCAAAGCAAAAGCAGTGAGACACAAACACGCAGCCGGTGGCACAGGCATTATAGCATATATTACATTGCAGTGTGGGATGCTGAGCTCTTTATGACTTGGACATTACTCATATCCGAACATAATACTCATATACTTGGTGTCAAAGGCTATGCTATTATTTCAGTGCTGCTATATAGATTCTGTTTATAGCCCCATCACTTAAAGCTAAGTGTTTTATAGTTTTTATGCTGACACAAACACACACAAGGCTTGTAAACCCTTTAAGATAAAAGACATCAGAAAGTTTTTTGCATTTCTGTGCCGTTTTATAGATTTTGTTGTGCATATCTAATGTATGAACCAGTGCGTCGTCCAGATCTGTAAAAGCAATAAATGCGTAGAGGCTCCATTCATCATTCTTTCATCTGGAAAGACGTAAAATCAA